ATATATATTTTGAGACAGAGTCTCACTCTATCACCCAGGCTGGAGTGCAGTGGTGCAATCTCAGCTCACTGCAACCTCTGCCACCCAGGTTCAAGCGATTCTTCTGCCTCAGCCTCCCGAGTAGCTGAGATTACAGGCGCCTGCCACCATGCCTGGCTAATTTTTGTACGGTTAGTAGAGACCCGGGGTTTCACCATCTTGGCCAGGCTGGTCTTGAACTTCTAACCTTGTGATCCACCCACCTCAGCCTCCCAAAGTGCTGGGATTATAGGCATGAGCCACTGCACCCGGTCATCACACTTTGTTTATCCATTCCTCTGATGGCTTGTTTCTACCTTTTGGCTATTATGAATAATGCTGCAATGAACATTGGCATACAATTATGTGTTTGAGGCCCTGTTTTTTTATTCTTTTAGGTATGTATCTAGAGTGTCATTGATTTTTGTTTTGAGACAGAGTTTTGCTCTTGTCACCCAGGATGGAGTGCAGTGACATGACCTTGGCTCACTGCAACCTCCACCTCCCAGGTTCAAGCCATTCTCCTGCCTCAGCCTCCTGAGTAACTGGGATTATAAATGCCTGCCACCAGCCTGGCTAATTTTTCTATTTTGATTACAGACGGGGTTTCACCATGTTGGCCAGGCTGGTCTTGAACTCCTGATCTCAGGTGATCTGCCAGCCTCAGTCTCCCAAAGTGCTGGGATTACAGGCATGCACCACGAGGCCTGGCTAAGTTTGTATTTTCAGTAGAGACGGGGTTTCACCATGCTGGCCAGGCTGGTCTTGAATTCCTGATTCTCAGGTAATCCACCTGCCTTGGCCTCCCAAAGTGCTGGGATTACAGGTGTGAGCCACTGTGCCTGGCCTAAGAGCGTCACTGATTTTTGACAGTTTTTGAATATGCACCTTGGCAATGGGAAGGACCTCTGGGAACAGGGCCCAGTTTCTTTGAGTGAGGGAGGGAGAGGAGCAGAGAAAGGGGAGGTTTCAGTGTGGATCTGATTAGAAATAATAACAGCTACCTTGTGCCTATTGCAAAACACTTCACAAAACACTCGCCAGAAAGCATAGCCAGAGGTTCAGAGATCATAGTTCCTTCCTTCCTTCCCTCCTTCCTTCCTTCCTTCCCTCCCTCCCTCCTGCCTTCCTTCCTTTCTCCCTTCCTTCTTTTTTTTCTTTCTAGGCAAGGGAAAGTAGCTCTGAGCTGCTTCAGTCATCATATTCTTATTAATCTACAGCACTTTAGGTACCACAGAATTATAATTTTGTAGAGAAATTCTGTACTTTTACAACTAAAATTCTGGAAAAAGCAAAACTATGGATATAGAAGAAAGATCAATGGTTGTTAAGGACTGGAGTCGAGGTGAGGAACTGACTACAGAGGGGTTCAGGGGAATTTCTACGGGCTGATGAAACTGATCTTGATTGCTGTGGCAGTTGTGCCACTGTATGCATTTTTCAAAACTCACAGAACTGTGCACTAAAAAGGGGGAATTTTACTACAGGTCAATTATACCTTAATTTAAAAAAAAAAAAAAAAAAAGAAGAGGAACAAATAAGTAAATGATGAGAAAACAAAATAATAGTCCCAACTACTCGGGAGGCTGAGGTAGGAGGATTCCTTGAACCCAAGAGGCGGATGCTACTGGAAGCCAAGATCACATCACTGCATTTCAGCCTGGGTGACAAAGTGAGACCCTGTCTCAAACAGCAGCAGCAACAACAACACCCTAAATAAGAACCTAGGCTGGGTGCAGTGGTTCACACCTGTAATCCCAGCACTTTGGGAGGCTGAGGTCAGTGGATCACAAGGTCAAGAGATCGAGACCATCCCGGCCAACATGGTGAAACCCCATCTCTACTAAAAATACAAAAATTAGCTGGGCATGGTGGTGGACGCCTGTAGTCCCAGCTACTCAGGAGGCTGAGGCAGGAGAATCCCTTGAACCCGGGAGGTGGAGGTTGCAGTGAGCCGAGATCATGCCACTGCACTATGGCCTGGCAACAGAGTGAGACTCCATCTCAAAAGAAAAAAAAAAGGACCCTAGACTCTCATATGTTTGCATATCTTGAGAAAAATGCAGGAGACTAACTGTAATTATTTAGCATTAGAGCACAAACTTTTATTTTTTCATTCATTCATTATAAAATGAAAGCCCCTGAATCCCCTATTCAACCCCAAAACCAGGAACATTGCTAAAAATTAAATCTACCTGCTGGGCCTGGTGGCTCACACCTGTAATCCCAGCACTTTGGGAGGCTGAGGCTGGTGGATCACAAGGTCAAGAGATCAAGACCATCCCGACCAACATGGTGAAACCCCATCTTCACTAAAAAATACAAAAATTAGCTGGGTGTGGTGGTGCTTGCCTGTAGTCACAGGAGTACTCAGGAAGTTGAGGCAGGAAATTGCTTGAACCCGGGAGGCAGAGGTTGCAGTGAGCCAGGATCGTGCCTCTGCACTCCAGCCCGGCAACAGAATGAGACTCCGTCCAAAAAATAATAATAATAATAAATCTACCTATGGGTTTCTCTCCTACAAGTAGGTTTAACAGGCAGATCCCTGCATCCTCCCCCAGGTAGGAGGGTGTGTGTGTGTGTGTGTGTGTGTGTGTGTGTGTGTGTGCGCGCGCGCGTGTGTGTGTGTCCCAGGCTGGAAGGCAGTAGTGTTAATATGGCTCACTGCAGCCTTGACCTCCTGGGCTCAAGGAATCTTCCTGCCATAGCCCCCCAAATAGCTGGGACCACAGGTGCATGCTACCACACCCAGCTTTTTTGTTTGTTTGTTTGTTTTTGTAGAGACAGGTCCTTCTATGTTGCCCAGGCTGGTCTTGAAGTCCTGGGCTCAACCAATCCTCCCAAATCCTTGGCTTCCCAAAGTGCTGGGTTTATAGGCAACAGCCACCATGCCCAGCGCCCCCAAGGATTCATTATTCTGAACTTGTGTTTCTCATCCTCTTGCTCTTTTTTTTTTTTTTTTTTTTTGAGATAAGGTCTTGCTATGTTGCCCAGGTTGGTCTTGAACTCCTTGGCTCAAGAGATTCTCTTGCCTCAGCCTCCCAAGTAGCTGGAATTGCAGGCCCAGGCCACTGTACCTAACCCCTTGCTCTTTTCTTAGTTTTTTTCACATATAAATTCAGCTGAAGCACATGAATTTGCCATTACTTTTAGATCAAAATGGGTCAAATAACAGCAAATTCATATGGTTCAACCTACTATTATGCTTAAATGCAGTAGTTCTAGTTATTTTTGAATCATATTAAAAGGATGTCATTCTATATGTAGTCTTCTGAGATTTGCCTTTTTTCTATTCAATATTATATTATCACGATCTACCCATGTTGCTATTTTTCATTTATTTTCTACTGCTCTATAATTAATTCCTTTGGATGAATATCCCACGTTTCTCTATCTCCTGTCAGTAGCATTTACCTGTTTTCGGTTTGGGGCTACTGTAAACAATGTTTCTACTAACATTCTTGTATACATTCTCTCCTGGTGCATTGTACAAGAGCTTCCTGTGGCTTGGCTGTACCATAGGAATGGACTTGCTAGGTCTTAGAGTACACAGATATTCAACTGCACAAGATGTGACTGTGAAGTGAGGATGTGACTCATTCTCTGAGCTCCAAATAACAATACAATCTGCCACTTTCCTCTGGAGGGAATGTGGACAAGATGTAATGGGAGGCGCTGGGGTGGAGGGTATCTATTGGAAATTGGACACTTGTGCCTAATGCACCCCAGTGATACCTTCCTGCTGCATCCATGATCTCCTTTAATCCTCCCAGGTGAAAAGAGGTACTATTATCTCCAGAGATTAGGTTTAGAAAAAGAAAGTACCTTGCCCAAAGTCAGTTTTTGCCAACTGCCTGAGCAAACAATGCCCCCTCTCTAAGCTTCAGTTTCCTTTTCTGTAAAATGGAAATGATAATACCTGACCCATATCACAGGTTAAGGGCTTCCGCATGCATGGCTCCTGGAGATGGTCCCTAAAAGTCACTTGTTTATTAATGCTATTGTTAAGTTATTGATATATATACACGTGTGTGTGTGTGTGTGTGTGTGTGTGTGTAGAGAGATAGAGAGAGAGAGAAAGAGACAGAGAGAGACAGAGAGTGTTTCACTCTTGTTGCCTGGACTGCAAAGGTGCAATCTTGGCTCACTGCACCTCTGCCTCCCGGGTTCAAGTGATTCTCCTGCCTCAGCCTACCGGGTAGCTAGGATTACAGGTGCCCGCCACCACTCCCAGCTAGAGTTGTTATTAATATTAAGGGGAACAGTAACCCAGAATAGTCTGAGCCTTGCCTTCTTGACAGTCCAAGGTGTTGCCTCTTGCAGAGGGAGACCAACTTTGGATGTAGTGATCATAGCCCGTTTTGGCCACCACTTCTGATCCGGGCCCCCTCCTCTACCCTACTCGGGACCTCAAAGCTGAGGTTCTTGTCTTTATCTACAGATTTCTCTGAACAAAAGAAAAGGCAAACTGACCAGCGGCCCAGGCTCCCAGTTCTGCCTCAGGACAAAGGGAGAAATTGGGGCCCAGCCCTTCATTCAGTGGGAAATATTTGTTGAGCACCTAGTATGTGCCAGGACCTGTGCTGAGCACCAGGAACACAGAGGAACAAGACCAAACCCTGTAAGGCAGGAGGCTGAAGGAGACAGAAGACTAGAAAACGACAGTGTGCTGATTCCAGGGACTGTTCCATACAACAGAAAAACAGACTTAGGGTCAGGGAAAGCTGCCCAGTGGAGAGCTTCCCTTTAAGTTGGAGCTTTATGGCGGGGCAGGCCCTCCACAGGTACTCACAGACTAAGAGAACCACCAGCCTGTTGAACCGAAGAGGAGACTGAGCAGCGCCTCTCGACCCCTCCTAGCCACACCTCACCTACCCCGACTAGGCCAAACCGGCCGAGCACCCGAGAAGCGCCGCGCAGCTCCACGAAGCCCAGGGGCGGGGCCTCGGCCCAGGTGCGCGGCGGCGCTTCGCGGAGGCAGGAAGTGTGTCCCTAGCAGCGGCCCGTGCAGCACTCCCGCGAGACGCTTACCTGTGCCCCAGGTGAGCGGCGAGGGGGCGGGGGAGGGGCTGAACCGGAGGCGGCTCACCTGGCGGGACAGGTAAGCCCCGCGCGGGCCCGAGGGGGCGCAAACCAGGGCGGCGCTGGTGTGGGGAGCCCCTCGAGACTGCGCCCGGACGGGGGAGGGTCCCGGGCCCGGTTCGTCGGGGGCCACCCTCCTACTTCCGGGGTGCGCGGGCCGGGCCGGAGAGCGGCCTGAGCGGGCGCGCAGAATGGGGTGAGGGGCTGCGCTCGCCCTCAGGACTGCACTGGCTGGGTGTGGGGCCGCGCTCACCCAGGGCAGGGTCGGGACCGGGCAAGCCCTGTGCTCACCCGGAGGAACAGCGTTGGGACGCGAGGGAGGCTGGGTCCGCCCGCAGGGCAGGGCCCTTGCAGCTGGAAAGAGTAGTGCTCGCCCCAAGGGCACTGCTGGTGCAGGGGCTGTGACAGCCCGGGGGGCAGTGCCAGGGCTTGGTTCTTCCTTGTCCCGAGGACTAGGTGCCCGCGGATATGAGTGCCGAGGGTACACTGAGCCGACGGCTGTTTCTCGAGTGGGACTGGGGTGCTCCTCCCAGCCGGGTGTCTGAGGCTTGACACGGGTCTGGGGGCAGAGGCTGGCGCGGCCGGGCCTGTCGTGGGGACGCTGGGAGAAGGGGACGCATAGCCCCCTGAGTGTATGTGTGTTCGCAAGACTAAGGGGGAAGAGGGCAGCATCAACGAGAAATTCAGGGAGGTCGGGCCGGGACTGTCTGATCCCCGAGAAGATTGCTGCGGTGCCTTAGAGCGCCCAGTGACCTAGCCCCTCCCAGGTGCCAGGCAACTGAGGGAAGCCCCCTGCAGGCAATATTTCATTTAAATCTCATGGGATTGCCGGGCAAGAAGATACTAATCTCATTTAAAGATGAGGAAACTGAAGTTAAGAATCTTGCCTCAAGCCACAATAGGGACTGGGAGCCAAGTGACCAGGCTTCCTAGGATTGCGTGGGGTGGGTGAGGGGAGTGGTGGCAACAGCAGGGTTGGGGAGATACAGCCTGGAAGAATCGGCCTGAGTTTGACTTCAGGAGGGTTCAATGGTTGGAGAGAAGTGGGGAACTGAGACCCGGCATTGTCCTTATCCCAGGTCTTGACTCTCTTTTCATCCCACCACTGCTGGAGATGTGTGGCACACACAAATTATGCAGGCTCCAGAGCCTGGGCCGCCACAGTGCAAATCCTAATGCAGCCCTCTCTTACTAGGCGTCTCTGGGCCACTCACTTCACCTTTCTGAGCTTCAGATTCCTGATCTGTGAAATGAAGATTTACTATTTATTTGCAGAGCAATTGTGAGAGTTAAATAAGGTGAAAGTCTTCTGGCCCATTCACTGCTGTTTTCTCCGCATTTAGCACAGTGCTAGGCACCTCGTAGGTGCTCAATAAATACTCGTTGGATTAATTTAATCAATAGTAGCGAGCCATAAAGCTTTGGAGGTTGGAGAGAGGACAATAGCCAGCCCATCCTCAGGAGTCCCAGGTACCTCCAAGCTCAGCAGGGTTAACGGTAGATTCCCCCACTCTCCTGAAGGCCTGAGCCTGGAAGACAGGGCTCCCAACATGGGCTCTTTGGGCACACACTGGTCCATGGAGCTGGCAGCTGGCACCTTTGACTGCCTCTTTCCTCCCAAGTAATAGAAGGGATGGGGTAGTGGATAAGAGTCTGGGGCCAGGCTGATTGTGTACAGACAGATGTATGCCTTTGGACAACTTATTTAACCTGTCTGTGCTTTAGTATGACAATACAGGCAATAATATTACAAAGAGGGTTGTGAACATTAATAGGTTTTTACCTCTGATGTACTTAGAACAGTGTAAGCCATCAATAATCAACTCTTTCACTAGAGTGTAAACTCCTGAGGTTGAGGGATTTTGTGTGTTTTATCACTTTATCCATAGAATTTAGAACAGCTGGCTGGGTGCGGTAGCTTATGTCTGTAATCTCAGCACTTTGGGAGGCTGAGGCAGGCAGATCACTTGAGGTTAGACGTTTGAGACCAGTCTGGCCAATATGGTGAAACCCCATCTCTATTAAATATACAAAAAAATTAGCTGGGCATGGTGGCATGCACCTGTAATTCCAGCTACTTGGCTACTTGGGAGGCTGAGGCATGAGAATTGCCTCCACCCAGGAGGCAGAAGTTTCAGTGAGCCAAGATCATCCCATGCACTGTAGCATTGGTGACAGGGTGAGACTCTGTCTCAAAAAAAAAAAAAATCCAGCATGTGGCACACAGTGGGCCCTCAATAAATATCTGTTAATTTCGTGAATGTATGAATCCATACCCAACCCCGCATTTCTTGAACTAAAGCAAAGATTTTTTTCACCACTTGCCTCAGATTGCAAGGGAATTTAAAGTTACCTGTTATAATGTTAGCTGGGATACCTTTGCAGATGGGATTTCACTCCCCCCTCACCTCCTATCCCCCATCCATACTCTGGTCAACCTAGAGCCTAAGTCTTTTTTTTCTTTCTACCCAATGGTCCTGGTTCTACCCTGAGGCAACCTGGAATGTGTTAGCCCCCTGAGGCACCTAGTGTACCAAACCCTGTTCCAGATACTGAGGCAGAAAATAATTACACACAGTCCCTGCACTTTAGGGTCATGGTCCTTGGGACATAGACTTATCCTCAGACAATGGGTACAAGCCTGACCCAGCTGACAGCCCAGCAGAAGGCTGTGGAAAGAGAGCCTCACATCTGACTAGTGGTTCCAGAGGGTCCCTGGAGAAGGAGCGCTGAGTAGCGCCAGGAGACTGTGTTGAAGAGTTCTAGGAATGGCTAAAGAACTATATCCTAAGGCCGGGAGTGGTGGCTCACACCTGTAATCCCACCACTTTGGGAGGCCGAGGTGGGCGGATCACCTGAGGTTAGGAGTTCAAGACCACCCTGACCAACATAGAGAAACCCTGTTTCTACTAAAAATACAAAATTTGTCGGGTATGGTGGCACATGCCTATAATCCCAGCTACTTGGGAGTCTGAGGCAGGAGAATTGCTTGAACCCAGGAGGTGGAGGTTATGATGAGCCGAGATTGTGCTATTGCACTCAGGCCTGGACAAAGAGAGCAAAACTCCATCTCAAAAAAAAAAAAAAAAACAAAACTGTATCCTAGGCCGGGCACAGAGGCTCATGCCTGTAATCCTAGCACTTTGGCAGGTGAAGACAGGAGGATCACTTGAGGCCAGGAGTTCAAGACCAGCCTGAGAAACATAGCAAGATCCCATCTCTACCAAAAAACAAAACAAAACAAAAAACTAGTGGGGCAGGGTAGTATGCACCTATAGTCCTAGCTACTCAAGTGGTTGAGGTAGGAGGATCACTTGAGCCCAATTGTTCAAGGCTTCATTGAGCTATGGTTACACCACTGCACTCCAAGCTGGATGACAGAGGGAGACCCTATCTCTTTAAAAAAAAAAAAAAGGAAAAAAAGAAAGAATTGTATCCTTCACATCCCATTTACCAATGGGTAATATTCCCTCTCTCCCTTTCTCTACACACACATACCTTCTGTTTTTTGTGTGTTTGAAACATTTGAGATTAGCTTGCAGATATCCTGTCCCTTTATCCTCAAGTGCTTCAGTGTATGTTTCCTTAGACTATATAACCACAGTAATTGAGTTCAGAAAATTTAACAGTAATACAATACTATCAAATAACATATAGCCTATTTTCAAATATCACCAGTTATCTACATTATCCAAGTTCCAATTTCTCCTCCTAATCCAGGATCCTATCTAGGATCACATTGCATTTAATTGTCATGTTTCTGAACTTGGGTTTGTCTATTATTTCCTCATGACTACATTCAGGTTATGCATTTTTGGCAAGAATACTTCATGAGTTGTATCCTTCTTAGTACATAGTATCAGGAGGAACATGATGACAGTTCATCCCATTATGGTGATATTATCTTTGATCATTTAATTAAAGTGGTGTCTACCAGGTTCCTCTAAACATTTTTAAGTTTTTACTTGCTACAGCAAGTAGGAGGGAATGGAAGTGGCCAGAATGGCAGCTGTGACTCTATTTGGGTGAGAGATAATAATGGCCCTCTTTAGGGATGTGGCACTGAGTTTCCCAAGTGCCAAATCTGGGATTAGACTAGGGCCAGAACTGTAACTAGAACACAGATATCCTGATGCCCAGTCTCATGTTCCTCACACACCCCCAGTTTAAGACCCTAATGCCACTGGTGTGGTGATTCATGCCTCTAATCCCAGCACTTTGGGAGGCTGAGGCAGGCAGATCACGAGGTCAGGAGTTTGAGACCAGCCTGACCAACATGGTGAACCCCGTATCTACTAAAAATACAAAAATTAGCCAGGCGTGGTAGCGCACGCCTGTAATCTCAGCTACTCAGGAGGTTGAGGCAGGAGAAGTGCCTGAACTTGGAAGGTGGAATTTGCAGTGAGCTGAGATCACATCATTGCCTGGGTGACAGAGCAAGACTGTCTCAAAAAAAAATCACATTTAAGGGCCGGGCGCCATGGCTCACACCTATAATCCCAGCACTTTAGGGGGCTGAGGTGGGTGGATCACCTGAGGTCAGGAGTTTGAGACCAGCCTGATCAACATGGCAAAATCCTCTCTCTACTAAAAATGCAAAAATAAGCTGGGCGTGGTGGCGTGTGCGTATAATCCCAGCTACTTGAGAGGCTGAGGCAGGAGAATTGCTTGAACCCAGGAGGCAGAGGTTGCAGTGAGCCGAGATGGTGCCACTGCACTCCAGCCTTGACGACAGAGTGAGACTCTGTCTCAAAACAAAAAAACAAAACAAAACAAAAAAACATTTAAGCTTAATTCCCATATTTAAGCATCATTCCTGTGGCATTAAATACATTCACATTGTTGTACAACTGTTGCCACCGTCCATCTCCAGAACTTTTTCATCTTCACCAGCTGAAAATTCCTACCCATTCAACACTAACTCCCCATTCCCCTCTGCCCCAGCACCAGGCAACTACCATTCTACTTTGTGTCTCTATGAATTTGACTATTCTAGAGATGTCATATAAATGGAATCTTACAATATTTGTCCTTTTTTTGAGACAGGGTCTGGCTTTGTTGCCCAGGCTGGAGTACAGTGGCATAATCTCAGCTCTCTGCAACCTCCACCTCCGAGGCTCACGTGGTCCTTCTACCTCAGCCCCTCAGGACACTAGGACTACAGGTGTGCAACACCATGCCTGGCTCATTTTTGTATTTTTAATAGGGATGGTTTTCACCATTTTTTCTAGGCTGGTCTCAAACTCCTGGGCTCAAGCAATCCACCCACCTCGGCCTCCCAAATTGCTGGGATAACAGGAATGAGCCACTGAGCATGGCCTGTTTGTCCTTTTGTGTCTGGCTTATTTTTTTATTTTTATTTTTTTGAGGTGGAGTCTTACTTTGTCACTCAGGCTGGAGTGCAGTGGTGCAATCTCAGCTCACTGCAACCTCTGCCTCCTGGGTTCAAGCAATTCTCCTGTCTCAGCTGCACTCCCTCCCCAGCCAAATAGCTGGGACTACAGGCACACACCACCATGCCCGGCTAATTGGTTTCACTGTGTTAGCCAGGTTGGTCTGGAAATCCTGACCTCATGATCCACCCACCTTGGCATCCCAAAGGTCTGGGATTACAGGCGTGAGCCACCATGCCCAGCCTCTGGCTTATTTCCCTTAGCATGTTCTTCAAGGTTCATCCATGTTGCAGCATGTATAAGAATTTCCTTCCCTGTTTCTTGACATACATTGCTGATTCCTAGAAAAAAATAAAAATAAAAAAAAAAGAATTTCCTTCCTTTTTAAGGCTGAATAATATTCCATTGTATGTATATACCACATTTTGTTTAGTCATTCATCTATTGGTAGACACTGGGATTGTTTCCACTTTTTGGCTATTGTAAATAATCCTGCTGTGAACATTGGTATAAACATCTGAGTCCCTGCTCTCAATTAGGTGGGGTATGTACTCAGAAGTGGAATTGCTGGGTCATGTGGTAATTCGATGTTTTTGGAGGGACCACCATACTGTTTTCCACAGCAGCTGCACCATTTTACATTCCCACCAGAAATGCACAAGGGTTCCAATTTCTCCACATTATTGCCAACATTTGTTATTTTCTGGGGGAAGGGAGATTATTTTTAAATACAGATTGAGGGGTTGAGTATCCCTAATCCAAAAATCCAAAACACTCCAAAATCTGAAAGTTGAGCACCAGCATGATACTTAAAGGAAATGCTCATTGGAGCATTTCAGATTTTTGGATGAGGAATGCTCAACAGGTAAGTATAATGTACACAATCCAAAACCCAGAATCCAAAACATTTCTGGACCCAAGCATTTCAGATAAGATGTTCTACCTTTCATAGCCATCCCAATAGGTGTAAGTCACAGGGAATTTTGAAATCTGGGTTAGACCACAGAGACTTCCTCTTTGTGGAGGGAGGGGCACAAGAGATGCAAGTTTATGGGCATACTTGGGTCCATCCACATCCCAGGCCTCTCAGAAACTAGAAGTGTGAAGCTGCTCAAGTCAGCCCAGGAATTTGTCCCTGACCTCTGATCCTGACTCCCTGGCCTCTCCCCCGCAGGTGCCTGGCTGCTGCAAACCATGCAGTGAGCCATGCCCCACCCTGGACACCCCCGCCCAGCATCTGGGCCTCCACGCTTGGGACCCTGGGAGCGGCCAACAGAGCTATGTCTGGAGACATACGATAAACCACCTCAGCCCCCACCAAGCCGCCGTACCCGTAGACCAGACCCCAAGGACCCTGGTCACCATGGGCCAGAGAGCATTACCTTCATCTCTGGCTCTGCTGAGCCAGCCACTGAGTCCCCTGCCTGCTGCCTGCTCTGGAGACCCTGGGTATGGGAGTGGTGCCGGGCTGCCTTCTGTTTCCGCCGCTGCCGGGATTGTCTCCAGCGCTGTGGAGCCTGTGTGCGGGGCTGCAGCCCCTGCCTGTCTTCTCGGGACTCCCCTGAGGGGACTGCTGAAGCCAACTGGGCCAAGGAGCACAATGGAGTGCCCCCCAGCCCTGACCGTGTACCCCCCAGCCGGCGGGATGACAAGCGGCTCAAGTCAACTGTGGGCAGCAGCTTCAGCTACCCCGACGTTAAGCTTAAAGGCATCCCTGTGTACCCCTATCCCAGGGCCACCTCCCCAGCCCCTGATGTGGACTCCTGCTGCAAGGAGCCACTGGCCGATCCCCCACCCATGCGACACAGTCTGCCTAGCACCCTCGCCAGCAGTCCTCGTGGCTCCGAGGAGTACTACTCCTTCCATGAGTCGGACCTGGACCTGCCTGAGATGGGCAGTGGCTCCATGTCGAGCCGAGAGATCGATGTGCTCATCTTCAAGAAGCTGACAGAGCTGTTCAGCGTACACCAGATCGATGAGCTGGCCAAGTGTACGTCAGACACTGTGTTCCTGGAGAAGACCAGTAAGATCTCAGACCTTATCAGCAGCATCACGCAGGACTACCACCTGGATGAGCAGGATGCTGAGGGCCGCCTGGTACGCGGCATCATTCGCATCAGTACCCGAAAGAGCCGTGCTCGCCCACAGACCTTGGAGGGGCGTTCAACTCGGGCTGCTGCCCCCACTGCTGCTGCCCCTGACAGTGGCCATGAGACCATGGTGGGCTCAGGTCTCAGCCAGGATGGTAGGTGGGGGCCCCATGGGACTGAGGGGTAGAGTAGGGGAGGCTCTGGCCAGGGGAGGGTTGGAATGGGGTCTTTGGCCACTGTGGGTCCACCCCTCAGCCAGTCCCTGCCCTTACTCCTTTCTGTCAACTCTTGCATCCCCCACTCCGCAGCTCCCACTCTGGCCCTTCACAGTGAGGTCTCAGCAAGGCTGAGAGGAGCAGGCAGACCCTAGGAGAGCTCTCTGCCCATCGCTGCTGTCCCCAGAAAGGACAAGGTGCCCTCTGCGTTCAACAAGTTTACCTAAAACACTCCTCTCCCCTGTTGTCACCTGCCAGAGTAGCTTCTAGGCCTGGCCTGGTTAACAGGACCCAGGGACCCACATGAATTTGGGCCTCTGACCTGTTTTGGCCTAACCAAAACTCCCACTGATCCACCACTCTGCACATGCACACATTATCTGTTGTCTTTCTTTTGGAGACAAGTCTCGCTCTTGTTACCCAGGCTGGAGTGCAATGGCGTGATCTTGGCTCACTGCAACCTCTACTTCTCGGGTTCAAGGGATTCTACTGCCTTAGCCTCCCGAATAGCTGGGTAAATTATAGGTGCCCACCACCATGCCTGGCTAATTTTTGTATTTTTAGTAAAGACAGGGTTTCATCATGATGGCCAGCCTGGTCTCGAACTCCTCACCTCAGGTGATCCACCCACCTCGGCTCCCAAAGTGCTGGGATTACAGGCATGAGCCACCATGCCTGGCCTGTGTCTTTTTTAAGCATTATTTTTCTAGCCCTGCCCAGGAGTGAGTGGCTCCTCCCTCATCAGGCTGGGAACAAAGTGGGGAATAGGGTTGAAAGAATATGATAATGACCACTGCCTGCCTCGTGTTCCCTCCCTAGAGCTGACAGTGCAGATCTCCCAGGAGACGACTGCAGATGCCATCGCCCGGAAGCTGAGGCCTTATGGAGTTCCAGGTGTGGTCCTGACCTAATGAGGGGTGTGGAGGGTAGGGGACTACCCTAGGGTCCCCTCACATGCTCCTCTCCCAGCTTTCTCTTGGGGTGGTGAGGATGGCATCAAAAAGGGACGAGGGCCTTAGCAGCTACAGACCCATCCCCATCTGGCAAGCTGGCCTAAAGCGGGGGCAGGTGCCCAGAACAGGCGAGCTGAAAGTGATTGAACCCTAACCTTCAAGCCCAGGTGACTAGGAAAGTAGTGGGTGGGGGACCATCCAGCATGGTGCTGGAAAGGCACCCCGTGTGGTTCTGCTGCGGTCTTCTTGCCCTTGATAACAATCTCCTGGGAGTGGGCTCATCATCCTTTTACAGAAAGGGAGGTTAGGGCTCAGAGAGGTCAATAAACCGAGTGGGTCACCCAGCCAGGATCAGACTGACCCAGGCTCAAGTCCTACTCTGCTCCTTCTCAGCAAGCTTCTCCCTGGCTGTGCGATCTGGATGAGCTCCTTCCCCTGAGCCTGTTTCCTCCTCTCCTCTCCTTCCCACCAGGGTACCCAGCCAGCCATGACTCATCCTTCCAGGGCACTGACACAGACTCGTCGGGGGCGCCCCTGCTACAGGTGTACTGCTAACCCTCACCAGGCCCAGCTGTCACACCCTTTTTGGGAGAAGCACAGCCTACAGAATGAAGAGGGGCACCAGGAACCCCTGTGGGAGAGGCTGGGCCTTAGACCTGAAGCAGTGCCCACTCTGGCTCCTCCTGCCTTGGCTGACTGGGTTCCTGGACCATGTGCATTTCACTGGGCCATGGAGTCTGCGTCCCCTTGCATCCCCAGCTGGTCTGATCCCTGCCTGGGCCTCTTCCTTCCTGCTCATGGTCTTCAGGTGGCCTGATCATGGAAAGTAAGGACTTACCTTCTGGGAGTGAATCCTGACTCCATCCTCATAATATTGCCACCCTAACCAATCATGCAAACTTCTCCTTCCCTGGGGGAATTTAACAGCTAAGTTTATCTTAAATGTACTGTATTGGGGGGTGGGCAGGGCCCACTCTGTTATGTTAAGCAATTGGTTCTGGTTCATGGTTGATGTTCTGTATGTTAACATGATCATAGTTTGTAAGTACAAAGGCAATTGGCATCTGTCTGCTTATCTTGGCTGTCTTTTCTCTCCAGTCTGCCTCACTTAACTGCCGCCTAGAACAGGAGACAGGATATAGATGACCAGCCTGGCTTAGTGCCCTGCAGTTGAAGTCAGAAGAATAAAATGGGAGTGATGCTGCCCCCATTTCAGGTTCACTGTGAGTTCCAGGAGATAGAACCAAGCACAGTCTGTACCTGAGAAATGCTGGATAAATGGTTTCTGACATTGTTTGAGAGGTTCTTCTAGGGAGGCTTGCCTCTGTTCTCCCAGTCCACTGCCTGCAGGCTGGCCTGCTTCTGCCCAGCCCTGTTTCCCCAAAGCCCTGATCATCTGTTGGCACTATCTAGCCTTGGTGGACCTGCTGCTCCCCTCCCCCGCTCTGTGGTACTAATAGAACTGTGGGTTTCACCAGTACCGTTTTTGGCCTTTCCAATAATCTTGGAGAATGGACATTCTTCCAGAGAGGAAACCTGGGGCTCACAGCGAGGTCACGGAACTTAGGGGACATGCAGTTAGTAACCGTGGCTCTGGGTCTCCCTGGGGCAAATGCAGAATCCCTTGTTTAGGTATCAGAGCCCAGATAAGTTCAGAAGGATCCTAGTTGGCTGCTCCTCACACACAGGCTTATCTACTATTCCTCTCTTAGCAGAGAGGCCAGGGCAGGCCCACCCGCCCATTCTTAATTAACCAACAAGCCGAAAGTTGTTAAGGATCCGCCCACTCCTGGCCCCATTTGACCTGCTGTCCCCACAGCCCTTCATATTGTTTCTACAGGCACCCTTTAGAAAGTGACTACTAGACAAACTGTACTTGTTTGTCCAGTTTCCTAAGAAAAACAGAGGATGGTCTCAGGGCTGTGAACACAGGGTCCAATTCTAACTCCAAGGACCCTGTGTTCATAGTCACACTCTGCTGTCTCATCCAGGTCAAGGCCAACATTAGATTGAAATGACCACAGGACAGAACAAGAGTCCAGAGTGGCAGAGTGACACCATAGACCCTCCACTCTAGCCTCAGCCCTAGATCACCATTTTCCAAACCTTGCCTTCTAAACCACTATTTCCATTCCCAGAAAAAAAAAAAAAAAAAAAAGGTTTATTAAGTTTGGAAAACAAAGCTATGTACTGCATAGCCTCTTTGAAATCTTTAACAAGCTATTGTGAAATTCTTTTTCTTTCTGAGACAGAGTCTCACTCTTATTGCCCAGGCTGGAGTACAGTGGCATGATCTCGGCTCACTGCAATCTCTGCCTCCCGGGTTCAAGTGATTTGCCTGCCTCAGCCTCCCAAGTAGATGTGATTACAGACGTGCACCACCACACTTAATTTTTTGCATTTTTGGCAGAGACGGACTTTCCCCACGTTGGCCAGGCTGGTTTTGAACTCCTGACATCAAGTGATCCACCTACCTTGGCCTCCCAAAGTGCTAGGATTACAGGCATGAGCTATCATGCCCAGCTATTCTGTAATTCTATAAAAGACATCTGTGTTCCAGAAATTAGGGGCCAGAGAACTAAGCACTCACAGCAGGTCAACCTAGACATTCTTGCTATAACTTCTGTGGCCCAAGCACTCTGACCTCCACCCTCTAGCCAAAGTGGGGCAGGGGTCAGCTCTGTGAGCTGGATCTGAGCAGAGGGGAGTGCCTCTACAGCTCTGGCACTGTCCTGGGAGCTGGCTCTGAAAAGGCCTAGAATCTGCAGAGGTCCAGGTTAGAGACACAAACAGTGGGGCCTCACTGGACTTTACTCTGTTCTCCTAGCAAGGTTCCTGTACCACACATACAGATCTGAGGCCTGGGCCATCCCCCTGGTACTCCTCCCCTGAGCCAGGCAGTGTCACCTCGGCCCTTGCTGCTCTTCTGCCTGGGACACAATAGTCTCTAGTTTGAAGAACACTTGAGGGCTAGAGGGCAGGCCCACTGCAGTGGGAAGTGAGAATTGGATCAATAAGTCCAGTGGTCTTAAAACTCTGCTGGGTCATGTGCTCCTTTGAGAATGTGACATGTGTTCTAGTCTCTGTGGCCAGAAAAACTCAACCTTTGCTCAGAATCATACACAGACTAAAAGCCTTGTTTTAATCTTCCCTTTAAGAAACTGAGGCCCACAGAGGGGCAAGGACTTGCTCTAGGTCACATGGCGGAATCTAGGCTAGAAGCCAAACTCCCAGTTCCCAGCAGCAGCCATAAAGGGCCTGTGCCCCAGAGAAAGGCCAGAGACAAGAGAGGACACAAAAGGAGCTGGGCAAATTGCTTTAATGTGTAACAGTAGGCCAACTGGAGAGGACAGGATCCCAAGCCCCAGCCTTTCTCCTGATACCCTGGGACCTGTGTGCCTGGGCCAGTCCCATGCCTGCCCCAAGCCCTGAGGCCCACAAGTCCCAGAGAAGAGTGGGAAAGAAAGTTGGGAGATTGTGGCACAGCCCCAAGAGTTCAGGGAGGAAAAAACAGGGGCTAGTTAAATTTAGCCTTGGAAAAATCCATTTCCGGATGCTGATCCATGAACCTGGAGAAAGGGAAGCAGGAAGATGATGAAACAGCTCATCCTTCTCTTCTAAAGCTGTCCCTTCTCCCAGCACCCCCGTGTCAAATCTAATCTCTTTAGACCTCAGCAACACTGAGCCAGGCCAGGCAGGAGCAAGGCCAGGGTATCTGAGGCCCATCTGAGCCCTGAGGCTGGAAGCTGAGGCACCAACACTGGCATCGTTTTCCTGTAGGTGGCAATGACCGGCTGTTACCCCTTCCCTCCTATCATGAGCTGGCCTTGCCCTCAAGATGACCTCAGCAAGTGACTAGAGTAGGCAAGCCAAAGCCATAAAGCCATAAACATGGCTGGAAAGGGTCAGCGCAGCTCCTGAGGTGGCTCAATGATGCATTCAGTGCTGTCTAAGCCCCCAGGCACCCACCCTCCCCCAGCCCCATCTCTGAATTGCTCACTTCTTCAGAATCTCCTGTTTCTTCTGTTCGTCTGAGGTTGGCAGCCCCATGGACTTCTGTCTCTGGTCATACATCATCTTTTCCACCATGCTGCGGGTCTCACTGTCCAGGTCTGACAACTGGGGGCAGGCAGTGACAGGGATGGGTAAAGCTCTGGAAACACCTAAGGCCCTCACCTTCCTGCTGAAGCTCCCCCAACCAGCCAGGGCTCACCTTGGAATTCTCAGGGTTAATCTTCTTGGTGTTGATCTCAGGGTCACTGGTCACCAAGCGGCTCCACCATTCCATCTTATTGATCTGTGAAGAGAACCAGGGGGTGGGAGGTGGCCTGCTCTGTGCACCAGTAATCACCCCTTAACCCTTTCACAACCAAACTCTCTCCCATCCACATCCTGCACCTGAGACCCATGCAGGCCTGTGCTGGGTCCAGAGGTACAAATGAGCAATACTCTGCCCTCCCTGCAGCTGGGGGAGGCACAGAGGCAAACAGTTACAAATCAGTGTGATAAGGGGAAGAAGAAAGCAGAAAGGGAGATATTCATCCAGGGTGGAGGAAGAAAAGTTCGGAAGTGACACTTGGGCTGAGCCTTAAGACAGAAAGCAGTACACCAGATTTAAAATGAGAAGAAAAAACAATTTTTTTTTTTTTAAGATGGAGTCAAGCTGGAGTACAGGGGAACAAACTCGGCTCACTGCAACCTCTGCCTCCTGGGTTCAAGCAATCTCCTGCCTCAGCCTTCCAAGTAGCTGGGATTATTACAGGTGGCCACCACCACTGCCTAATTTTTTGTATTTTTAGTAGAGATGAAGTTTCGCCATGTTGACCAGGCTGGTCTCTAATCCTAACCTTGTGATCTGCCTGCCTCGGCCTCCCAAAGTGCTGGGATTACAGGTGTGAGCCACCGTGCCCAGCCAGAAAAATTATTTAAGCATGGAAGTGCCAGGTGCAATGATCCTACCCATAGTCCCAGCACTTTGGGACAGAAAGATCCCTTAAGCTCAGGAGTTTCAGACCAGCCTGGGCAACATAAAGAGACCCTGTCACTACAAGAAACATTTAAAAATTAGCCAGGTAGGGTGGCGCTTGCAGTTACTCAGGAAGCTGAGGTGGGAGGGTCATTTGAGCCCAGGAGGTCAAGGCTGTGGTGAGCCGTGATTGCGCCACTGCATTCCAGCCTGGGTGAGAGAACAAGACCCTGTCTCAAAAAATAAAAAATAAATTTAAAAAGGCAGGGAAAGACATTCCAGTTGGGAGGAAAAGCAAGTGCAGGGGCATGGAGGGGTGAGTGAGGGCAACCAATGCCAGTCAGGAAGGCTGGGACAGGGCCTTATGTGCCCTGGGAAGTTCTTAGACTCTTGGCCCTTTTCAGAGACCACCTTTATTTACTGGTGCCTGTGTCCCATCTCTGCAAAGGCAGTGAGGTTGAGAATGTAGACTTCCTGAGGGCCCTGATTTTCCTACATTTTGTTCACTGTTCTCTCTCCAGCACTTAGAACAAGAACGGTATCTGGCACGGAGTAGGTATTCAAGTATTTGATGAATTGAATGCATGTACAAACCTAGTAAAAAAGAAGCAACTGGGTTGGGTGTGGTGGCTCAAGCCTATAATCCCAGCACTTTGGGAGACCAAAGCGGGTGGATCACGAGGTCAGGAGTTCCAGACCAGCCTGGTCAAGATGGTGAAACCCCATCTCTACTAAAAATACAAAAATTAGCCAAGCACAGTGCTGGGCACCTATAATCCTAGCTACCCAGGAGGCTGAGACAGGAGACTTGCTTGAACCTGGGAGGTGATGGTTGCAGTGAGCTGAGATCATGCCACTGCACTCTAGCCCGGGAGACAGAGCAAGACTCTGTCTCAAAATTAAAAAAAAAAAGCAGCCTTAGAATCTAAGTCTGTTTCAATCCTGACTCCACCCCTTCCCAGAGGTATGAGCTTTTGGGTAAATCAGTGATTTCTTTTTCTAACTCAAACCTGTAATCTCAGCACTTTGGGAGGCTGAGATGGGAAGATCACTTGAGGCCAAGAGTTCAGGACCAGTCTGGGAAATATATGGAGACCACCCACCACCCCAATCTCTACAAAAAAAAAAAAATCAACAACAAAAATTAGCCGAGCATTGTGGTGTGCACCTGTAGTCTTAGCTACTCAGGAGGATGAGGCGGAGAATTGCTTGGGCCCAAGAGTTCAAGGCTGCAGTGAGCTAAGAAGGTGTTACTATACTCCAGCCTGGGCAACAGAGTAAGACTTGTCTTTAATAAAATAGGGACAGACCTACTTTAAAGAGTGTTGTCATGGGATTAAGATAATTCCAGAATGCCTCCAGCATGGCTCCAGAGTAAAATAAGCACACATCCTCCCTTCTTCTTCCATCAACACCCCATGCCAGAAGAGCTGGGCCTCACATACCTTCTCCAGATGCACAGTCACCACCTTGCCATCCTCAATGAGCCATGAGCTCTCCTCCACCTTCACTTCGTTGTAGAGCTCCCCACTGATGATTGCTGGCTGCCCCTTGAGCCCCACCCGGAGGTGCCGCCGCTGGATGTCCACCACGACGTCCTTCCCTTTCAGCCGGAAGTTCACACGGAAAGGGACTGCCAGCTGCATAGGGCAGAGGCAGTCAGGAGGGGCCACCAAGTGCTGCCAGCACCCCAGGCTGGCTCCCTAAGCTTCACCTCTGGTCCCTGCCACTCACGTCCAGTTCCGACAGGGTCTGGGTCCAGCGGTAATTGGGCAGGTCTGCCCCGTTGCCTAGGTTGGGCTTCAGTTTTCCTTTGTCCTTCTCGTCTTCCTCCTCATTATCTTCCTCAGTCTCCTGCTTACAATCAGGGACACTTAGCTACTTACTTGACAGACATGAACAGATACAGAATGAACCCTCCTCACTGGGCCAAGCCCAGAGCTAGCACTGGGCATACAGCCACAAAAGAAAAGAGACCTGGTCCCTGCCCACTCCACAGAGGGACAGATCTCCAAGCCTTGGTCCACTGGGAACCAGGTAAAACTTGGTTCTGATCTCTGCTTGAGAGGAGCTCAGATTATTATACCATGTGACAAAGGATATGGCTGGGCCCACAGAACCCAGGCAACCTCAGATGGGACCCGTAATAGGCACTGCCCTCTCTGGCTCTTGGGTTTTTCTGCCATAAATGGGTTAAGGTCAATGCGTTTTTTTTGTTTTTTTTTTTTTTTAACCTGGATCCTTTGGTTCAATGTCTCTGAGCGTGATCTCAAAGTATGGGGAAGACTCCCAAAGCCAGGAGGGGAGGGGATAGGATAAGGAAGGGTATTCCAGAGAAGGCAGTAGACAGGAGATTCCCTGGAAGTTCCAAACTCCTGTCTCATCCTAAGTATCTCCAGTCCATCTCACCTGCTTCCCTGGGGAGTCAAGGCTGCCATTCTTGAGCTGGGCCTCATAAGTCTCTGCATCCTTTTTCTGGGGCAAAGAACACAGCAGTTGGCAACAGGACCCCACTGCTCAGTGCCACTGGGGATCTGAGGAATAGAGGATGGAAGCCCACCCTTCACCTGGTCAATCTCTAGCTGCAGCCTCTCTGCCTCTTCATCAGTTAGCTCCTTGATCTGGGGCCCTGAGGTCTCTGACTTGGCTTCTTTGGCCAGCCTGGCCGCCCGCTCCGCCTTCTCCCGCCGCTCAGCCTCCTGCCGGGCTCTCTTCTCCCGCCGGGCCTTCTGTGCCAGCTGATTGTGGTGGCTGAAAGTCTGAGTGATAAGCTGGAGAGGGAAGAAAGACCATGAGGCATCAGAGCAGGGGACAGTGTCCCACAGCCTGGAGTCCAGCCCCCCACTACCTGCTGGGTGCAAGGGCAAAGCACTACACTCAGAACCTCAGTTTCCTCATCTGCAAAATGAGGAAAATACGGCCGGGCGCGGTGGCTCAAGCCTGTAATCCCAGCACTTTGGGAGGCCGAGGCGGGTGGATCACGAGGTCAAGAGATCGAGACCATCCTGGTCAACATGGTGAAACCCCGTCTCTACTAAAAATACAAAAAATTAGCTGGGCATGGTGGCGCGTGCCTGTAGTCCCAGCTACTCAGGAGGCTGAGGCAGGAGAATTGCCTGAACCCGGGAGCAGAGGTTGCGGTGAGCCGAGATCGCACCATTGCACTCCAGCCTGGGTAACAAGAGTGAAACTCTGTCTCAAAAAAAAAAAAAAAACAAAAAATGAGGAAAATACATCTATCTCATAGAGCTGAAATTAGAATACATGCAAACCACCTGTCTCAATAAACTGGCTGTTTTTAAAAGTACATGCTTGGCTGGGTGCAGTGGCTCATGCCTGTAATCCCAGCACTTTGGGAGGCCAAGGCGGGCAGACTGCCTGAGGTCAGGAATCCGAGACCAGTCTAGCCAATATGGTGAAACCCTGTCTCTACTAACAATACAAAAAAATTAGCTGAGCATGCTCCTGTGATCCCAGCTACTTGGGAGGCTGAGGCAGGGTAACTGCTTGAACCAGGGCGGTGGAGGTTTCAGTAAGCCAAGATCACACTGCTGCACTTGAGCCTGGATGACAGAGGGAGACTCTGTCTCAAAAAACAAAATAAAAAAGTGATACTATTACAAGCAAAAACTCAAGCCTCAGTCCCTCAGAAGCCTTTCCTGAGTTCTCAGGCCCACAGTGACCTGCTCCTCTGACTGATCACTCTTACTCTTAGTGCATCCAAGACCACAGTCCAGTTACGCAAGACTTGATGCCACACCCAGGAAAGCCACGTTAGCAGAAAGCCAGGCAGCTTTCTTGAGAGTAGAGCCTGGTCCCCCTCTCTCCAGCCAGCAAGCTGTCAACTTCAAATCCTTTTTCTCCACTACACCTTCTCAGGATGTTTCCACGCCATGATGTGCTAGCCAGCCTCCCTGCCACCCAAAGGCTAACTAACCCCCTATACTATGGCCAACTGTCATTATTTGGTTCCTGGCCTTAGACAAGTGAACAACTTTGACTCTAAGCCTCGGTTTCCTTATCCGTCATGAGGATTGAGTATGACAGCACACATCAAGAGTCCAGTGCGAGGCCAGGCACAGTGGCTCACGCCTGTAATCCCAGCACTTTGGGAGGTCAAAACGGGCGGATCACCGGAGGTCAGGAGTTCGAGACCAGCCTGGCCAACATGGTGAAACCCTGTCTCTACTAAAAATATAAAAATTAGCCAGGTGTGGTGACACACGCTTGTAGTCCTAGCTACCTGGGAGGCTGAGGTTGAGAGAATCACTTGAACCCAGGAGGCAGAGGTTGCAGTAAGCAGAGATTGTGCCACCAGCCTGGGCAACAGAGCAAGACCCTGTCTCAAAATAAATAAAAGCAATCTTGACATGTGTTGTTCTTCGCCTAGAATGTCTTGTCCCCTCTGTCAGGTCATCTGGCAGACCAACTCAACCAGTCAAGTGTTGAAGTTTCACCTCTGGCCCAGGAACATACCCTTAGGAAAGTCAACTCAATGCCAACCCATACACAGTGTGCATGTGTACACACACGCACACACCCCTAGAGGCCTTGCAGGGCACTCACCATGTGATCAGTGGTCAATAAATCCTCTTTCAAGCATCTCTAAGGCAGAACTGCAGGGAAGGCTCAAGGTCACAGAAGTCACCCCTGGGCCCCCAGACCTGGGGTTCTGCTATGCCCTGTGGATTCTCACCCATTTGACGCCAATTTCTACTGCTATTCCCAAACCCCCAGCCTCATGCCACACTAAAGTAGCTCCACACTCTACAAGGTTAAAGAACACCAAAAGGGCCCCCTAAACCACGAGTTAAACTGGTAGGGGAGGCCATTCTGCTGTCAATAGAAACGACAGGTCATGAGATAATTGTGCCAGCAGAGGCTGTTCCACCACAGGGCCTTGGTCCCAAGTCCCTCATCAGAGAGACCTTGAACTAAAGCCATTTGCCAACCAGTTGCCAAAGGGAGGTGGGAGCAGGGCCCTCCCCTCTCCCAGCTCCACTGAATCATGTCACATCCCATTTGCACTGTTCTTTCCCAGCTCTTGGAGGTTAAACAAGGGCAAAGCTAAACCACCAGGCAGAGTCAAGGCCAATCACAGCAGCCTCTGACCCGTCCTCCCATCAGCTTGACCTAGGCCTAGCCTCAGACAGATAACCCCAGGGGTGTGGAAGCCTACCCAGAGGTTGTCACAGACTCAAGCTTCAGTCACTGGACACATCTTTGGGAACCACAGCCAACCAGGGTGGGGAGGACTGGGCCTGCTCTAAAGCCAAGCCTGTTGCTCTGCCCCAGAAGAGGCCCAGGACAGTACCCCAAACCACTCAACAGGCTTACGTGAGCATAAGCTTTCCCTGAGCTAGGCTGGGAGATGAGGAAGTAGAGTGGTTCCTACCAGCCTGGGTAGGGCAGACCTTGAGGGTTATTTAAGTTGAATTTGAAGGTGTGAGGTCCTGAACCTGACCACCCCAGGGGTGGAGTGGGAAAGGGGATCCACAACACATCTGAGGGGGATGACATACTCCAAAGAGTAAACAGCAGGGGCTAACTTTGGCAGGGATTCTCACCGAGGGCCACCTGAGAAATTCTATTTCCTCCACCTACCCTATCCTTACCTGCTGGAACAATGGACCCATACCCTACCCCTTTGACCACTTCCTAGATGCCCTGACACAGGACCCCTAGGAAAATAGGGACTGAAAGGTAGCAGCTGTGGTGATGTCTAGAGGAAAGGGAAATGGGAGGGGAAGAGCAGGCACACCCTCATCTAAGGCACAGATCCAAAAGGTTCTTCGACTACTCGAAGTGCAACAGGGACAACCTGCTGGGATCCTCAGAGCCAACTGGGGGCCTCCCCTGCCTCATCCATAAGCCAGTGCCCTCAGCAACCTTCTTCTCTTCCTGTGGTTCCCAATTTAAGGAGTGGCATCACCAACCATCCAGTGCCCACGGAGAAAGCAGAGTCATCTGTGAATATCATCTGGTACCAATCCTGCCAGACATATCATTCCACTATCCTTACCGCCTAAGGTCAAACTTGTCACTTCCCGGGTCTTGGCCTCTTGCAAAAACGTCAGCAGCCCCGATGGAGAATGGACCACAGCTCCCCATGGCCTGCAATGCAGAGCCTATGCCTCTCAGCCTCTCCTTGCACAGGTCCTTCTACCTGGCCTGTTTCTTGCTGACCTTGATCTCCTGGGAGTTCTTCCTCAGCCCTCAAGATCAGACCCAAGTGTGCGGGTCACAGCCATGCCCTCTCCCAGGTGGATTTAGGCTTTTCCTCTGTAATTCTATTCCTATCATACGCTTCCCCAACCCTGGGCCTTGTTTCTTCTGTTTCCTGCACCTGGAAACACTCTTCTGCCAATCCCCAATCCAAATCCTACTTTCTCTTTCATGGCCATTCAGATGCCACATCTTCCCAAAACTTTTTGGGATTCTCAACAAATAAGTGCCCTCTTTCCTTCCCAAAAACTCCCATAGAACTTTTTTTTTTCCCCTCTTTCTTTTTTCTTTTCTTTCCATGAGACGGCGGGGGGGGGGTCTCATGTTGCCCAAGCTGGCATCAAACTCCTGGGCTCAAGTGATTCTCCCACCTAAGCCTCTCAAGTAGCTGGGACTACAGGCATGTGCCACCATGCCAGCCTTCTCAAACACTTTTCAGAAGGCAGAAGAATTTATGAAATAGCTGTTATTAAAACCCTAATCCAGGCTGGGCGCAGTGGCTCTCACCTGTAATCCCAGCACTTTGGGAGGTCAAGGCAGGCAGATCACAAGGTCAGGAGATTGAGACCATCCTTGGCTAACATAGTGAATCCCCATCTCTATTAAAAATACAAAAAAAAAAAAAAAAAAAAGGCCGGGCACGGTGGCTCACGCCTATAATCCCAGCACTTTGGGAGGCCGAGATGGGTGGATCACAAGGTCAAGAGATCGAGACCATCCTGGTCAACAAGGTGAAACCCCATCTCTACTAAAAATACAAAAATTAGCTGGGCATGGTGGCGCGCGCCTGTAGTCCCAGCTACTCGGGAGGCTGAGGCAGGAGAATTGCTTGAACCCAGGAGGCGGACGTTGTGGTGAGCCGAGATCATGCCATTGCACTCCAGCCTTGGTAACAAGAGCGAAACTTCATCTCAAAAAAAAAAAAGAATTTAAGACTAGCCTGGGCAACATGGCGAGACCCCGTTTGTACTAAAAATATGAAAAAATTAGCTGGGCATGGTCGCACATGCCTGCAGTCCCAGCTACTCAGGAGGATAAGGTGAGAGGATTGCTTGAGCCTGGGAGCCGGAGGTTGCTATGACCCAAAGATTACAGTGAGCAGAGATTGCGCCACTGCACTACAACCTGCATGACAGAGTGAGAACCTGTCTCAAAACAAAAACCCCTAAACAATGGGGTTTGGAATTTCTAGGTTGGTGAATACATCAAGGTGTTGGGAGGGTGGCACAGCCAGAGAGGGCATGGAGGCTCCACGCCCCACCCCCATACCTAGCCCTACACAGCTACTTGGCTTTTTCTTAGTTATGTCTTTTATAATAAACCAGTAACAGTAAATGAGGCACTTCCCTGAGTTCTGAATCATTCTAGCAAATTATTAAACCTGAAAAAGTGGTCATGGGAAGCCCCAGTTTACAGCTGGTTGGTCAGAAGTACACGAGGGAACCTGGAACTTATGACTGGCGTGTCAAGCGGGGGCAGCCTTATGGGACCGAGTCCTTAACCTATGCAGTGTGCAGTAATTCTGGGCAGTTAGTGTCAGAATTCA